ATTATGACTCCGTGGTGGCATCAGCAATCCTGTATGGTGTGGTGTGTTGGAGCAGCAGCGTCACAGAGAGGGAGAGAAAGAAGCTGGACCGGCTGATAAAGAGGTCCAGCTCCGTCCTGGGCTGTCCTCTGGACTCAGAACGAGAGGTGGAGGACAAGAGGGTGCTGGAAAAACTCCGATCCATCCTGGACCATGAGTCACACCCCCTGCAGGATGCCTTGTCTGCTCTGGAGAGCAGCTTCAGCAACAGCCGGACTCGCGCTGCTGACGGCTCCAGTGGAAAAGGTTCTGTTGACTACAGCGGTTCCTATCAGCAGCTATGACGTGCTGCTGCAGTAACATGCTGCTGACGGCTCCGGTGGAAAGAAGGGGTTAGACTTGCGGCAACACAGCTTTCTTTGTGGTTGGTCCCAAACTGTGGAACAAGCTACCACTCAACATCAGGACCACACCGAATCTAGAGCATTTTAAATCCCTTTTAAGACGCACTTTTTTGATCCGGCTTTTAATGCAGGCTGACTTGAGCATCTTAATAGTTTTTATTATAAATTGTCACTGTTGTGTGCTCATCTTCTTTTAGGTTTTTATTGTTGGATCCTATTGTTTTCCTGACTCTTGTATCAAAGACAGAAACTATAAAAGGCTGTTTGAAGTCGTTGACTTTTGCTGCGAGGACACATTTTCAGCTCTTCTGGGCTACGTTTTTGTTCTTCTAGTGCTGGACCTGTGAACTTTTTTTGTAAAGTTTTAGCTGATGTATCAAGTTAAGGTGTCTTTTATACTCCTTTTGTTTTCACGTGATGTGACGAGTGAATAAAATGGTGGAAATGGTTCTGTGCCTTTTCAAGATTTAAATAAAACTATAAAATATTTATTTAAAAAAAAGACCAAAGTACGATTACTTGACTTCAGCGCTTTCCCGGCACCGTTGGCCTGCTGAGATTAAGCCCATGGATATATTTGTCCTACCTTTGGGGTTTGAACTCTCTGGCCTCAACGTGAACCCTTGCTGGCACAAACCATCCAAGGTGCCCCCTCCTGCCTGAGCTTAGATCAAACGGTGAACCGTAAGGTGGTTTTGACACCTTTAGTGTTCCAATACCCGGAAATGAAGCTGCCACCTGGTTGGGGAGTTTTGGTGCATCTCCTGGTAGACGTGTTACTTTAGTCACACTGATGGGTCTTCAAATCAAAGGACAAGCATTTACCGTCAGGATTGAAGGATGAAGGTCAAACGTCATGGACCTCTCCCGTGGATAGGTAGTTCTTTAGATGTTTTTCTTAATATTTTTGTTGTTACTGATTTTTTCAGAACAAGGACAGATAGTATTTGTACATTTTGCTCCTGTACACCTGTCCATTTACCTATGATTAGTCTATAGATATCATATACAGATACAAATCTATAAATGAACAAACACACCCTAGTCTATGAATATCTCCTTAGACGTCAGGAGCTGCTACATCCACCTAGTGGTGAATTTACCTACCGACCACTCTAATCCACCTGTGCAGGTACTAATCCATCTCTCTCCAACAGTCACTGCTACTTCTGCCACGTAACGCATCGACCTGTACACCTGTACTGGTGTATTTATCCATCCATCTATAGAACAAACCCTAGTTTAGAAAAAATAAAGACTTATCCACATGTCAGAATATTATTTTATAATAAAATATTGAAATATTTGATTATAGTTTTTTTTAAATTGCCTTTGCTCCTAAAACACACGGTGTAAGACTAACCAGACACACGTTCCTTTCTGGGGACATCCTACCTGTCCTTACCCGTTTTTATCTGCTCAGCACACATGCTTACTCTCAAGGAGTCTGTAAACCTCATGCAGCTCTGACGACTGAACGGCATCTGTAACGTGAACTTTAACTGGTATAATTAAAGGAAATGAAGGAGCACACGAGTCATGGTTTATAAACGCATAAAAGAGCAAACATGAACAATGTTAGATCTCCATCCTGGAGGTTCTTTTTTCACCCGTTCCATCATGCAGCTGATAGTTTCACGAGTGCTGAAATGAGGGGGTGCTGCTGGGGTCCACGGATGGGCCAGTGCTGACTAAACAGTCCATTAAATAAAACAGTCCAGTCCAGATGGAGAAGCAGGCGGTAAGAAGGAGCTACGGTTTTGTCTCCGCTCATCTCAGCTGTCCATGTGGTCCACCACACCTCACACTTCCTGGTTCTTCATCCATCGGCTAATCTCATCAGGCTGAGCCGAGTCCTTAAAAAAAGTCTAAAAACACTGGAATAGATTTGTGTCCATAAAAAAACTAGAGATGAAAACGAGAAACAGGAAAAGTCCCTGTGTGTCGTTACCAGTTAGACCAGTTTAACCAGAATGGGTTATAGTTCCTCCTCAACTGAAATGTAGTTTTTAGGAACAATCCCACATCTCCCAGAATCCACTGCTCATCCAGAGACTCTGCCCGTATGATGATGTCATCGACCTGCAGAGGAATCAGTTAGTCCAGAAAAAAAACTGAAAGCTTTTGTTTTGAAAAAACACAGAAATGTTCAAAATAAGAGGATGTTTTGATCACAGACCTGCAGCGTGAGCTCATCCTGACAGAACTTTAGCTGTTCCTTTAATGGCCGAATGCTGGTCTGTGATTGGCTGAGCTGGAAACAGGAAGATGTGGTTAAACCTCAGCAGCTGTCTCAGGTTCATGTAGTTATACTACACTGATAGTGCTTGTGTGGTACCCTGGCTGGGTCGTGTGAAGGCCACGGGGTAAAGACCTTCTCTCCCCTCCAGCCTTCCTCTCCTCCACTCTGCATCAATGTGCTCCAGGACCTGAATCAGTGCCCCCTTGTGGAAGGGCAAGTCCTCTGTTGTCTGGCCAGGGAAATCGAACAGAGCTACGGCCCACTCCTGCACGCACGCACGCACGCACGCACACACACACGCACACACACACACACACACACACACACACACACACACACACACACACAGTCAGGTCTCAGGAGGATAAAACAATAATACTGTAGAGAATAAATGACCAGTGGATGTAACAGAGAGTTTAACAATAATAATAAACGACACAAACACTGACCTGAAAAGCTGAAGGTTTTATAGCTTCTGGAAAAAAGGAGAGACAGGTTGTTGGAACAGAAAATAAAATATTCAAATAAACAGATACAAAAGAGAAAGAAAACAAATATTAAGTCTGAAGTTGGATTACATCAAAAGATTTTCATTTGTTCTAAACATTAAACGTAAACGTCTGATATTTAACCGTCTGTCGTCCACCCGTCTGTCGTCCACCCGTCTGACGTCCACCCGTCTGTCGTCTACCCGTCTGTCGTCCGCCCGTCTGTCGTCCACCGGTCTGTCGTCTACCCGTCTGACGTCTACCCGTCTGTCGTCCGCATGTCTGTCGTCCACCGGTCTGTCGTCTACCCGTCTGACGTCTACCCGTCTGACGTCTACCCGTCTGTCGTCCACCCGTCTGTCGTCCACCCGTCTGTCGTCCACCCGTCTGATGTCTATCCGTCTGTTGTCTATCCGTCTGTCGTCTACCCGTCTGCCGTCCACCCGTCTGTCGTCCACCGGTCTATTGTCCACCCGTCTGACGTCCACCCGTCTGACGAACACCCGTCTGTCGTCTACCCGTCTGACGTCCACCCGTCAGTCGTCTACCCGTCTGTCGTCCACCCGTCTGTCGTCCACCTGTCTGTTGTCCACCTGTCTGTCGTCTACCCGTCTGACGTCCACCCGTCAGTAGTCTATCCGTCTGTCGTCCACCCGTCTGATGTATATCAGTTTGATATTTACCCGTTTGTCGTCCACCCACCTGTCGCCCACCCGTCTGACGTCCACCCGTCTGTCGTCCACCCGTCTGACATCCACCCGTCTGTCGTCCACCCATCTGTCGTCCACCCGTCTGACGTCCACCCGTCTGTCGTCCACCCGTCTGTCGTCCACCCGTCTGTCGTCTACCCGTCTGTCGTCCACCCGTCTGATGTCTATCCGTCTGTCGTCCACCCGTCTGTCGTCTACCTGTCTGCCGTCCACCCGTCTGTCATCCGCCGGTCTATTGTCTACCCATCTGACGTCCACCCGTCTGACGTCTATTCGTCTGTCGTCTACCTGTCTGTCGTCTACCCGTCTGATGTCCACCCGTCAGTCGTCTACCCGTCTGTCGTCCACCTGTCTGTCATCCACCCGTCTGATGTATATCCGTTTGATATTTACCCGTTTGTCATCCACCCGCCTGTCGTCCACCCTTCTGACGTCCACCCGTCTGTCATCCACCGGTCTATTGTCTACCCATCTGACGTCTACCCGTCTGACGTCTATTCATCTGACGTCTATTCGTCTGTCGTCTACACGTCTGCCGTCCACCCATTGTTCATCCACCGGTCTATTGTCTACCCATTTGACGTCCACCCGTCTGACGAACACCCGTCTGTCGTCTACCCGTCTGATGTCCACCCGTCTGTCGTCTACCCGTCTGATGTCCACCCGTCAGTCGTCTACCCGTCTGACGTCCACCCGTCAGTAGTCTATCCGTCTGTCGTCCACCCGTCTGATGTATATCCGTTTGATATTTACCCGTTTGTCGTCCACCCGCCTGTCGCCCACCCGTCTGACGTCCACCCGCCTGTCGCTCAACCGTCTGACGTCCACCCGTCTGACGTCCACCCGTCTGTCGTCCACCCGTCTGATGTCTATCCGTCTGATGTCTATCCGTCTGTCGTCCACCGGTCTGTCGTCTACCTGTCTGCCGTCCACCCATCTGTCATCCGCCGGTCTATTGTCTACCCATCTGACGTCCACCCGTCTGACGTCTATTCGTCTGTCGTCTACCTGTCTGTCGTCTACCCGTCTGATGTCCACCCGTCTGTCGTCCCCCTGTCTGTCGTCCACCCGTCTGATGTATATCCGTTTGATATTTACCCGTTTGTCATCCACCGGTCTATTGTCTGCCCATCTGACGTCTACCCGTCTGACGTCTACCCCTCTGACGTCTATTCGTCTGTCATCTACACGTCTGTCATCCACCTGTCTGTCGTCCACCCGTCTGATGTATATCAGTTTGATATTTACCCGTCTGTCGTCTACCCGCCTGTCGTCCACCCGTCTGACGTCCACCCTTCTATCGTCTACCAGTCTGTCGTCTACCCATCTGTCATCCAACCGTATGACGTCCACCCGTCTGTCTTCCACCCGACTAACGTCCACCCGTCTGCTGTCTACCGGACTGTCATCTACCCATCTGACGTCTACCCGTCTGCCATCTACCTGTCTGATATTTACCCATCTGCCGTCTACCTGTCTGTCGTCCACCCGTCTGACGTCCACCCGTCTGACGTCCACCCGTCTGCTGTCTACCAGACTGTCATCTACCTGTCTGATATTTACCCATCTGCCGTCTACCCGTCTGTCGTCCACCCGTCTGTCGTCTACCTGTCTGCCGTCCACCCGTCTGTCATCCGCCGGTCTATTGTCTACCCATCTGACGTCCACCCGTCTGACGTCTATTCGTCTGTCGTCTACCTGTCTGTCGTCTACCCGTCTGATGTCCACCCGTCAGTCGTCTACCCGTCTGTCGTCCACCTGTCTGTCATCCACCCGTCTGATGTATATCCGTTTGATATTTACCCGTTTGTCATCCACCCGCCTGTCGTCCACCCTTCTGACGTCCACCCGTCTGTCATCCACCGGTCTATTGTCTACCCATCTGATGTCTACCCGTCTGACGTCTATTCATCTGACGTCTATTCGTCTGTCGTCTACACGTCTGCCGTCCACCCGTTGTTCATCCACCGGTCTATTGTCTACCCATTTGACGTCCACCCGTCTGACGAACACCCGTCTGTCGTCTACCCGTCTGATGTCCACCCGTCTGACGTCCACCCGTCAGTAGTCTATTCGTCTGTCGTCCACCCGTCTGATGTATATCCGTTTGATATTTACCCGTTTGTCGTCCACCCTTCTGACGTCCACCCGTCTGACGTCCACCCGTCTGTCGTCCACCCGTCTGTCGTCCACCCGTCTGTCGTCCACCCGTCTGATGTCTATCCGTCTGATGTCTATCCGTCTGTCATCCGCCGGTCTATTGTCTACCCATCTGACGTCCACCTGTCTGACGTCTATTCGTCTGTCGTCTACCTGTCTGTCGTCTACCCGTCTGATGTCCACCCATCTGTCGTCCACCTGTCTCGTCCACCCATCTGTCGTCCACCCGTCTGATGTATATCCGTTTGATATTTACCCGTTTGTCATCCACCGGTCTATTGTCTGCCCATCTGACGTCTACCCGTCTGACGTCTACCCCTCTGACGTCTATTCGTCTGTCATCTACACGTCTGCCGTCCACCTGTCAGTCGTCTACCATTCTGACGTCCACCTGTCTGTCATCCACCTGTCTGTCGTCCACCCATCTGATGTATATCAGTTTGATATTTACCCGTCTGTCGTCCACCCGCCTGTCGTCCACCCGTCTGTCGTCTACCCATCTGTCATCCAACCGTATGACGTCCACCCGTCTGTCTTCCACCCGACTGACGTCCACCCGTCTGCTGTCTACCGGACTGTCATCTACCCATCTGACGTCTACCCGTCTGCCATCTACCTGTCTGATATTTACCCATCTGCCGTCTACCTGTCTGTCGTCCACCGGTCTGTCGTCCACCCATCTGACGTCCACCCGTCTGACGTCCACCCGTCTGTCGTCCACCCGTCTGCTGTCTACCAGACTGTCATCTACCTGTCTGATATTTACCCATCTGCCGTCTACCCGTCTGTCGTCCACCCGTCTGATGTCTATCCGTCTGTCGTCCACCGGTCTGTCGTCTACCTGTCTGCCGTCCACCCGTCTGTCATCCGCCGGTCTATTGTCTACCCATCTGACGTCCACCCGTCTGACGTCTATTCGTCTGTCGTCTACCCGTCTGTCGTCCACCTGTCAGTCGTCTACCCATCTGTCGTCCACCCGTCTGATGTATATCTGTTTGATATTTACCCGTTCGTCATCCACCCGCCTGTCGTCCACCCGTCTGTCATCCACCGGTCTATTGTCTACCCATCTGCCGTCCACCCGTTAGTCATCTACCCATCTGACGTCCACCCGTTAGTCATCTACCAGTCTGACGTCCACCTGTCTGTCGTCCACCCGTCTGATGTATATCAGTTTGATATTTACCCGTCTGTCGTCCACCCATCTGACGTCCACCCGTCTGACGTCCACCCGTCTGTCGTCCACCCGTCTGCTGTCTACCAGACTGTCATCTACCTGTCTGATATTTACCCATCTGCCGTCTACCCGTCTGTCGTCCACCCGTCTGACGTCCACCCGTCTGACGTCCACCCGTCTGACGTCTATTCGTCTGTCGTCCACCCGTCTGTCGTCTACCCATCTGACATCCACCCGTTAGTCATCTACCAGTCTGACGTCCACCTGTCTGTCGTCCACCCTTCTATCGTCTACCAATCTGTCATCCAACCGTATGACGTCCACCCGTCTGTCTTCCACCCGACTGACGTCCACCCGTCTGCTGTCCACCCGTCTGACGTCCACCCGTCTGTCGTCCACCCGTCTGACGTCCACCCGTCTGATGTATATCAGTTTGATATTTACCCGTCTGTCGTCCACCCGTCCGACGTCCACCCTTCTATCGTCTACCAATCTGTCATCCAACCGTATGACGTCCACCCGTCTGTCTTCCACCCGACTGACGTCCACCCGTCTGCTGTCCACCCGTCTGACGTCCACCCGTCTGTCGTCCACCCGTCTGACGTCCACCCGTCTGACGTCTATTCGTCTGTCGTCCACACGTCTGCCGTCCACCCGTCTGACGTCTACCCATCTGACGTCCACCCCGTTAGTCATCTACCAGTCTGATGTCCACCTGTCTGTCGTCCACCCGTCTGATGTATATCAGTTTGATATTTACCCGTCTGTCGTCCACCCGTCCGACGTCCACCCTTCTATCGTCTACCAATCTGTCATCCAACCGTATGACGTCCACCCGTCTGTCTTCCACCCGACTGACGTCCACCGGTCTGCTGTCTACCGGACTGTCATCTACCCATCTGACGTCTACCTGTCTGCCATCTATCTGTCTGACTTCTACCCGTCTGCCATCTACCTGTCTGATATTTACCCGTCTGACGTCCACCCGTCTGTCGTCCACCCGTCTGACGTCCACCCGTCTGTCGTCCACCCGTCTGACGTCCACCCGTCTGACGTCCACCCGTCTGACGTCTATTCGTCTGTGGTCCACCCGTCTGTCGTCTACCCATCTGACATCCACCCGTTAGTCATCTACCAGTCTGATGTCCACCTGTCTGTCGTCCACCCGTCTGATGTATATCAGTTTGATATTTACCCGTCTGTCGTCCACCCGTCCGACGTCCACCCTTCTATCGTCTACCAATCTGTCATCCAACCGTATGACGTCCACCCGTCTGTCTTCCACCCGACTGACGTCCACCGGTCTGCTGTCTACCGGACTGTCATCTACCCATCTGACGTCTACCTGTCTGCCATCTATCTGTCTGACTTCTACCCGTCTGCCATCTACCTGTCTGATATTTACCCGTCTGACGTCCACCCGTCTGTCGTCCACCCGTCTGACGTCCACCCGTCTGTCGTCCACCCGTCTGTCGTCCACCCGTCTGACGTCCACCCGTCTGACGTCTATTCGTCTGTGGTCCACCCGTCTGTCGTCTACCCATCTGACATCCACCCGTTAGTCATCTACCAGTCTGACGTCCACCTTTCTGTCGTCCACCCGTCTGATGTATATCAGTTTGATATTTACCCGTCCGACGTCCATCCTTCTATCGTCTACCAATCTGTCATCCAACCGTATGACGTTCACCCGTCTGTCTTCCACCCGACTGACGTCCACCCGTCTGCTGTCTACCGGACTGTCATCTACCCATCTGACGTCTACCTGTCTGCCATCTACCTGTCTGACGTCTACCCGTCTGCCATCTACCTGTCTGATATTTACCCATCTGCCGTCTACCTGTCTGACGTCCACCCGTCTGACATCCACCCATCTGTCGTCCACCCGTCTGACGTCCACCCGTCTGACGTCCACCCGTCTGTCGTCCACCCGTCTGACGTCCACCCGTCTGACGTCCACCCGTCTGTCGTCCACCCGTCTGTCGTCCACCCGTCTGCTGTCTACCGGACTGTCATCTACCAGTCTGATATTTACCCATCTGTCGTCCACTCGTCTGTCGTCTACCCATCTGACGTCTACCCATCTGTCGTCCACCCGCCTGTCGTCCACCCGCCTGATGTCCACCAGTCAGTCGTGTTTAAACAAATTCACCTCCTGGTGACACCGGATGTTACTTTAACTCTTCACATCAGAAAACCTTCAGCTCACCCGTCCACTCTGGTTTGAATGATTCCTCTGATGGTGTCATCACTGGGAGGGGCTCCACCACATCTGTGAAGTTGAGCGGGAATATTCCAGCTTGACCGTGGATCTGGCCCCGCCCCCACTCCTCACCCATGATCTCCAGCAGGACAATGACGTCCCCCTGAGAGAAGGTGAGCTCATCCTCCTCCTCTCCTTCATAGTCAAACAGAGCAAGGCATCGTGGGCCGCTGCAGACACACACACACACGTGATGAATGTGAGTGTGCTTTTATGTGTGTAGGTAATGATGTGTGTGTGTGTGTGTGTGTGTATCTGACCTGACTGGAGGAGGCTCTGACTGCTGTTTCTGCTCAGCAGGCTGCAGAGACAGAATGGACTGAGGAGAAACAAATATGGTTTTTACTCGACCTCTCTGAGGTTCTGCGGCTGCACAGCGAGCTCCACCAATCAGACATCGGGTCTGAGATCAACTGCTACCTGCTGGTCTGACAGGACATCTAGAGCGGGTTTAGACCGGATGTCCTCGTCCTTTGCTGTTTTCGGCTGTGTGTCCTGGTCGAGGAGGCCCTGGGACGGGTTGATGAGAGGGGTGGTGGTGGTTTGAACCCCGCCTTCATCAGAAGGTGTAGGAGGTGGGTCGTCCAGGACGATCAGGACATCCTGCTTCTGACGAACATAAATAAAGTTAGACGTTGTGGTTTGGACGGAGGACGCAGGTGTGACGGTGTAAGTACCATGTAGCTGTCGTAGAGAGGGTGTCCAGGTTTAGGGCGGGGCGGCAGGGGCGGGCCTCTTTTAGCTGCCTTCTGCGTCTGATTTGCTGAACCAGCTGGAGGAGATGCAGCTGTTTGAGAACATTGGTCAGCAGTGGGCGTGGCTTTGCATACCGCGATCCGATTGGCTGAGGGTGCTGAATTGATGGCTGGGGGGGGCGGTCTCTCAGGGGCAGATTTTATTGGTGGAGGACGAAGAGGAAGCGGCTTAGAGCTGGACAGAGGAGAACCAAGATGAAGACTAGTGTTGGTGACTCTGGAGCCAAACAGCCCTCTGGTCCAACCAACCAAACGACTAGTCTGATAACAACACAACAGCATGAGACCGGTTTAAACTGGGACATCTGACACAAGTGTTAGTAGATTACGTCAGACTGCAGTAACAACTACATGCGTTAGTTTTCTACCGAGAAGGAGCATCTGGGGACGTTGGGTCAACGTTGGCCTGAAGGACGGAGACTCTCCTCGCGGGCGGGGTCGGCGTTGGTCCGGGGGTAGAAACACTCGCCGGGTGTGGATCCGGCTGTGTTGGTGGGACTGAGATGGTTTTAGGAGCCAGACATGGAGCTGGAGGTGAAGCAACATTCCTAACTGTTACACTGCACCATTCATTCAACATTTAAAGACAATTCACCGACTCATGAGAAGTTCCACCAGGAGAGCTACACCCCGACAGGATAAATGTTGTAAATAAAAACACGAACCAGTTTGTTGTTAGAAAGGATGTTTGAACATTTGTGTTTGCAGTGAGAGCAGCTGAAGCATTAACTATGGTGGCGCCCTCTGCTGGTCATAAAAACATGGGTCAGTTAACTTTAGCTGATCTAAAGCTTCGAGTCTCTCTGGTTTCCGGTGACTTTCTGCCTTTTTAACTCGACTTGTTGTGTTTTCTTTTGTTCATCTCAGACTCAACCCGTTGTTAAAGGACTGATCAGGTCATTAAAGTATGAAACTCTGGATCGTTTCGGAGTTAAACAATGAGGTAAATAGTCACCTGCTTAGCAACGAGCCACTGGAGCTCACGTTCAAACGTCCTTTAAAAACCAAGTTAAACATTTTGATTCACACACACGCACGCGTGCACAAGCACAGACTCAACAACAGTGAACACTTGTTTCTTCTCACACAATCACTCCATTTTTCTCCCACAGACTTTGGATTGCAAGACACCAGCCTTTATCTTTGTGTTACACACACACACACACACACACACACACACACACACACACACACACACACACACACACACACACACACACACACACACACACACACACACACACACACACACACACACACACACGTGTCTTTCTATCATGGTGAGGACCATCCATTGACTTCCATTCATTTTTGTGAGGGTATTATGCCTAACCCATATCCTAACCATAACCACTACTGATCTATTCCCAAACCCCAGCCTTAAAACTAAAACCAACTGGTAAGCTTCTAAAAAAAAGCGACGACCACAAAAATGTCCTCTCATTGTAGGGAAAGTACACACACACACACACACGCGCACGCGCACGCACACACACACACACACTCTTACCGCTGAATCTGCGAGCAGAAGTCAGAGTTGCTGGTTTAGTCTGGCTACTTCCTCCTGTCACTGGGAGATAAATAAACAGAACATAATCAATAAACATATCAGATGTAATTATTACTGATATGGAGACAACAGGGTGTGAGTGAGAAGCTAAGCTGGAGGACATCTGTTAGCTGGTTTAGCATCAGCACAAAGGTGTTTTAGTGTTGTGGACGAGCGAAGAGTCACTTCCTCGAGCTACTTGAGCCTGAGCGTGTGATCCGATACGTCTGATTGTTTATGCTGAGGTCACAATGAGTCTCTGTCCAGCAGAAAGAGAGACGGCAGAGACGCTCGTCACTCAGAGACGTTTCATCGTACAAAACAAGATTTAACTTAAATACGGCTTCAAATAAACAATTAGTGCTGGAGCTTAGGAGAGCTGTTTGGTTAGATAGGACTTTAGCAGGTTAAACACTTAAAGGCACATATCTAAGTAAATAATAACAATAATGCCTGCTTTTATTTTGAAGAGAAAAATAAACCTAGACATAATAGACAGCTGTCTCTTTTTAACCACGTCAGTGAAAATTACTAAAGGTTTAGATCACATGACCCCAGGAGGTCATCAGTGACTCAGGCTGCTGCTGCACAACCTGGTCACCTGCTGTTAACAGTTTAAACAGGAAGTAAGTGCTGGTTACGACGCTAAATTTCACGCAGATAAATTAACTACTTCCTGTTTTCATCTGGAAACCAAAGAAGTTCCATTTGCAGCTGATCCTGGTGCAGTTTTAAGGAGAACAGGAGGTTCAGCGTGAATCCAACAATAGGAATAAGATCATGCTCCAACCACAGGAGCAGGCGCTGACCCAGAACCAGGCCCCCGTCATCACGCAGGAATTCGTCACACTCACCCGTTTGGGTCGCAGCGAGCGGTTCTGCTCCACCTCCCACTTCCACGGTGCTCCCGTCCTGGAGAGGAGCCCCCAGGCTGACTCTGGGGGTGACAGACGGTCTGGGGGGGGCTGTGGGGTTTGGTAGGGAGGGGGTGAGTTTAGGAGGAGGTGGTCTCGCTGCGGGGACAGCGACAGGAGGAGGAGGAGGTGAGACGGATTGTGGTTTTGGTGCTATGGAGGGTTTGGTAGGTCTGGGTTCTGATGGTTTTGTACCGGTTGGAGCTCCAGCTGTCAGATCTTCACCTTCCCAGAATTCCTTGTTGGAGGGTTTGGGAACAGGCGAGATGCTTTTGGGTTTTGGGGCAGTGACAGGAGGGACGGATTTGGCCAGTTGCCCCTGGAGACGAGACCGAGGTCGAGGTTCCGGACGTTTTCCAACAGCAATGTCTTCACTGGTACCAGTTTGTCTGTCGTTATCGTCCCCACAGCTCCCATCAGCCACCTGCTGTTCAAACATCTGAATCCTCGCTCTCAGGGTTGCCATGTCGTCGATGCCCTCCTCCTCACTCTCTGATTGGCTGTGCTCACTGCTGTCGCTACGGTGATCCGGGAAGCCCCAGTCGTCTGAGCTGAAGGCCTCCAGCAGCTCCTGAAGGTACTTCCCCTGACCGCCCCCCTGCTTGGAGCTGCTGCTGCTGCTAGCTTGAGCTGCTAAAGTAGCCAAACCGTCTTCTCGCAGTTTCACCAAAGTCTGAACTTTGACCTCGTTTCTGATGAGCTGGCGGCCCAGCTTAGTGCGAGGGCGTGGGCGGGGCCTTGGACGCTCCACTGGGACATGCGAGGCGTCAGCAGGGGCAGAGGAACTCTGAACTGATTGGTCGGTTTGAGCCCCACAGGTGGACGTCAGAGGCAAACACAGGTCAGCCAGGAGGTCACTGCATCCAGTGGAGGTGTGTGTTCTCTCCTCAGAGTGTGTGTGTGTAGCCACGCCGTCAGCGTCAGAAGAGAGGGCTGCTGATTGGCTGGCAGCACTGGTGATGTCATCGACGTTAGAGGACTTTAGAGGGTCGGGGAGTGGCGGTCGGGGGGGTTTCGCTGGTTTTTCTTCTGGACACAAAAACAGAAATGAACTTTTTATTCATTTATATAAAAACAAAAGACGAAAGTCTGTTTCCTCGTTTACTTTGGGCCTCCTCAGGATCCGGGTCCGGTCTTGGGTCAGTCTGAATGGCGATGGTTGTTCTTGAGACTGGAGAGCTGGAGGTAGGGAGGAGAACCTGCTCCTGTGTCTTTTCTCTGATCACCTCCTCATAGGACGGTGGAGGCTGAAGAGGAGCAGAGCGGTGAAAACTTATAAAAAGGTAAAAACGCTGAGATTCTGAGTTAGAACGGACCTCCTCCGCCAGAGAAACTCATGAAAACACAAACTGCCAGCAGCATTCAACGCTCGGCTTACATTTTACTTCTTATTTTACACAAGTCAGGAGAAAAGGAATCGGAGACAAACGGCTCCACACCTCTACGGACGGATGGATTGTGGGTCCCCAGATCTGTGCAGGAGGAGGAGGAGGGGGGGGAATTCCTGCAGCAACCCCAGGAAACCAGGAAGTGGAGGGCAGCGGCTCGGCTGATAGGATGGTGATCTCTGGTCGCCTAGCAACACGTCAACAGACAATTATCTCACAAAGGTAAAAGCAAAGTGAATGTTAAAGGTTAGGTTCCATGAATGTTCTGGTTCCCTGACCAGAAATAACCAATAAAAAGTGTTTTCAGTGTTCCACACCTTTAATTATCTTTGTCTGTTTTGAGTTTCTGTAAAAAGACAAAAAGGTTCGACTGTTCACAGCTGGTCAGGGTCAGCACTGCGGGATGGAGACACCTTCATGAAATCAGACGCTAAATTCCTACTAGTGCAGTTCTTATTATGAATATCCTTAAATATAATTTCTACTTGTTCGGGTATTTTTCTCATCAGTAAGAATATAATTTGGACGGTGATGAATTATATCATTGCTATGTAGCGTGATGAATTGTCCATCTTTGACCTAAAAGGCCCTGCTCCATTTGCTCTGTCCAAGCAGAAACACGAGTTTCTGACACAAGCCTAATCTACAAGATGTGGGCCAAGGCCACTCATGCTCTGTGCTCTTATCTAAACTGTTGCTTCCTCAGACAGCACAACAAAGAAGAAAGAAGAACTCTATTAAATGATCATCAAATAACTTTGATAGTCCAAATAATCACGTAAAGCCTATGGTTCAATCAATCTGTGAAATGAGAATATTAATTACTTCATATTATAATCCTATGATAGTTTATAATAAGTAATATAACTTTAAATATTTACACTAGACTGATCACACGTACACATTTCCTTTTCTGATCCAATCAGAACCTTCCAGGTCTGACGCGAGGCGTGGTTTTGTTGGTTCCCTTTTGTTGGCAAATCCTGATTCGACCATAAATCAAAACATCCAAACTATAAAACTATGCCCCACGTCATCTTAACTTGAGTTCCAAGCGTTCTAGAGAAGTTATCGGAGTGGCCAATCCGTAACTTTCCTCGTAAAGCAGAAAGAACCTAACGACAAGCTGGATTAAATCTGCTGCTGTTCCACCTGCTGCAACGGTTCCTTCAGAATAAAAGCTGAACCATCACGACCCCTTCAGGATCTCGATGATGCCAATAAACTGTCGTGACCTGGGAGTAACTCAAGGCTGAAGGGTCGGAAACCTCTACATATCTACAGGCGTCGGTTCCAAGAGGGTCCAAGCTGGACCACCGACATTCCGGATCTAAACGGGGACTTCTGTTGGGGTACGTAGACCGACAGATGACGTCTCAACGTGTTATAATCTCCAAAGCAAAGCTTAGAGCAAAACACCCTTTCACTCCCACTCAGAACTAATAGTCTCTCCGGATTTGCTGGTTCTGAACATATTTCACACACACCATCCTCAGTCTTACTCCACCATCATCACATAGTGTTTAAAGTTAATCTTATTTAATTTGTTTAGAAATAAATCTTTTAACTTTTAAACCCGACTCCCTTTCTCCGAGCTGATACAAAGTGTTGCTCAATCCCTGCAACAAAAACATCCGATCTTCTGGTTAAATTTACTCAAACATCCATTAAGGTGATATTTCATATTTCATGATATTTCACATTCTATGGTTTCTAATTAAATGTAAGAACATCTTCTCTACAGCTATGTACATCAGGAATTACAAAGAGGTGTTGTTGATTAAATGCTAAAATGGCTTACCATACTGGCTTTTAAAGACAAATACAGGGGAAAGGTAGAACATTACTAAACAAACCGTCATTCACTGGATTGTTCTAGTATTACTGTCAAATCCCCTCAGTCTCTAACGTAATCTGACTCAGAGCTCATTTGTCTGCATGATGATCACAACATGTTGGGGGTGTTGCAACTTTTTTCCTGCCGGCTGTGCAGACGGACAAGAGACATTGTCCTGAATTTCATCTTTATCATCTTTCTATGGTGGCCCTAAAGTGCAAACCACAAAAACAAATCACTTAACGCAACAACAAACTGAAACACGCAAAAACAAATCACAAACCGAAAAAGGTAGGTACCAATGCTGCATCAACAGGCATCACTGATTGGATGATGGATCCGTTGGCCTTTTGAAATGAAAGTTGTTCTGCCGAACTTGGTTATGTGAAAGAGCAGTCAGCGGGTGTGTCCGAATCCACAGGCAGGATGCTTACGAGTACGGGTCCTCGCCAGTCTAGCAAGGCCGGGTCCTTGCCAGACCGCTAAGACCGGAATCCAGCGGCTCTGAATTCAGACAGTCTAGCCTGCACTTCTACTGTGGCCCGCAGGTCCCGTCACAGCCGCGGCGGCAGCTACACGCAAAGGAAAAATGCTAAAGCTAGCGAAAATCAAGCAGGAATATTAAGGAGCTACAGCAGCTTCACGTCCATCAGCAGCGTTTGTTCACAACCGTTTTCAGGTAAAGTGACTTTGTTTATTCTACAAGCTTTCAGGACGTACATGTTAACTTTAGATGGTTTCATGTATGTTTTAAGCTACAGAATGAACTTGATAAACATACACAACACATTACTATAGAGTATTATCATGTAGGTAATTAATATAAACCAAATGCATTATAAATGTTGAATGCAGTCGGATGTTTTCCAATGTAAATTGGACCGTAGAACTTATTTTGCATCAAATGGGGTAAAACGTTTTAAAAAAACAGGCTTTTAAAAAAAAATAGCATTGAACTGTTTTCATTGTGCTTTTGTTTATTCAACTTAAGCGTAATCATGATTAGATCTGTCTTAAAAATGTAAATTCTCTGTAGTTCTCCCTGCTGCTTTTCTTTAAACTGAACAGAACCAGTGTACTGCAGGTTATATGTTTGTTTTACATTTTTCCAATTTAAAAACCTCTTTTTTAATCTATTACAGGTCAGCATGCACTGTGCTGCACATCTGCCTCTGTGCTGGTGAAGTTGTGGGTCTGGAGGATGAGCGTGAGGAAGATGTGTGTGGAGGAGGTCAGTGGTGCTGTCCTGGAGGAGGTACCAGCAGACCACCACTACTGTTAACAGGCAAGTCATTCACAGAGATGTAACAGCCGTCGTCTGAGCCAGCCCAGCAGGCCCTGTAGATGGACGATGGAGTGGACGCGTCCCAAAGCTCTCTCTGCAGACCGTCCTGTATGATGTTCCTCTGGCCAGAAAACGTCCAGCCACGGGTCTAACGTATTCAGAGTCTAACATATTCCCACACAGGAGACTTCAAGAGCTTCCTAGGTGGAATTGGAGCAGTGCTGGTGGGTGTTGTTGCTGCTTCTGCTGCATTCATCAGTTCAATTTAGCTTTTGCTTTGGTCTGTGCGAGTCATGCTGCTGTGATTCATTTATTTTTTTGGCGGTGTTAGAGAAGTCTACAGCGGGTTAACTGCAGAGTCTCAATCCAGGGTTAAAAGTCAAACCGGTTAATCCCTGCAACCCTAGTTGTGAGAAGATTTATAAGAACACCCTGAAGGGTCAACCCCGGGGCCACCCACTTGTTGCCTGTGACACGGCTCTGCTTCACCAAGGCTGGTGACCCTGGGGTTGACCCCCAGTAACCAGACAGACTCATTTAAATAATCAACTCAGTGTTTACCTTCTGTCCCGATCTCTCTCTCTGTCCCGATCCCGATCTCTCTCTCTGTCCCGATCTCTGTCCCGGTCCCTCTCTCTTTCCCGGTCCCTGTCCCTGGCTGGATCTCTCGGGGTCTCTATGACAGAAATTGGTCTGGTGGCTGAAAAGAGAGATCAGAAAACTGTAAAATAATAAAAATTCAGAAAAATAATGTTAACAGCTGAAAACCCCAAAAGGTCTCTTCCGTCTAAATATAACATGTAATATTTAAAACTACTACATTGAAATTAGTCATTGTTGTCATTTGGGTAATTCTCTCAAACAATAGATTATATTCAAGTACATTAAAAAACTAAAAGCACAGCGAGTCCCAAGGAGTTTTGGCCATTCCTTGGTTAGGTGGTCACCTATCCTGCTCCTCCACCTCACAATGTGGATCTTCTACAAGCTCCTCCCTGATGACCGAGCTTCTCACACCATCTTTAAAGGAGAGCCCAGACACCCTGTGGAGAAAACTCATTTTGACCACATCTTGTACTTTCGCTCACTACCAAAATATCATGACCATAGGTGAGGGTAGGAACGTAGATCAACCGGTGGCTCGGCTCTCTTCACCATGAGAAATCGGTACAACGCCCGCATCACTGCAGATGCAGCACCAATCCGCCTATTTAATTTGTGCTTAATCTTTCCCTCACTCGTGAACAAGACCCGGAGATACTTAAACTCCTCCACTTAGGATAGGACCTCGTCCCTGACCTGGGGAAGGGATTCTACCCTTTTCCAACTCAAGACCGTGGTCTTGGATTCAAAGAAGCCGATTCTCATCCCAGCCGCGTCACACTCAGCAGCAAACCGCTCCAGCGAAAGACGAAAATCGTGATCTGAAGTAGCCGACAGTCAAATGATAAATGGCCTGTATTTGATATAGTGCCTTCTAGAGTTCTGGAACCCCCCAAGGAGCTTTACAACACAATTGGTCGTCCACGCATTCACACGCTGGTGGGGATGAGTTATGATGTAGCCACAGCTGCCCTGGGGTGCACTGACAGATGGCTGCCGAGTACTGGCGCCACTGGCCCATCCGACCATCACCAGCACCAAAGTCTGGGGGGTTAAGTGCTCGAACTTGCAACCTTCCGATTATGGGGCGAGCGCTTAACTCCTGTGCCACTACACTCCTGTCACCCTACAACATCATCTGCAAAAGGCAGAGAACTGATCTTTAAGCCTAATTTATACTTCTCCATCAGCTCTGCGAGGGAGAGACGCACACACATAGACAGAGGCGTTTTTTGCTCTCAGGCATCTCCATCAAAAACAATTCCCTACCAGGACAACAAAGGGCGTAGCGCTGTTCTGTGGTATCCTGTCATGTATCCAGTCCAAGTGAGTGCATTTAATATAGTGCTTTTTGTATTTAAGAGACTTTTTTACATGGACAAATTTGTCCCTCATTCCCTTCCACCTCTTCATGTGATCGGCACCACTAAACTTATGTTTCTCGTCTTTTCCTTCCACAAATAAAACGCTTGCTGCATATCTCTGTACTCCTTCAGTCAGGTGAATAAACGTTTGTTTTTGGACTTTTCCCACAATGCATTCTTCAATCTGTTCCATGTTTGCAGCTATATATCTCTATTTTTTGAAGCAGAAAAGGCAGTGCTGTTGATGAATTTACAGGAAGCAGTGTCCTGACAAATCACAAGCTTGTGGTCTCCGTCTCTTTCAATGGATAGTTAAAAATTGAGGCATGTCTCCATCTTCCTGTGCGAGCCCGTCAGAGGGCTCTTGCGTCGACACATAATGACGTTGCGTGTCTCCGTCCTGACGCTGATGGAGAAGTATAAATTAGGCCACCAAAACAGAACTTTTAACACCTTAGCTGCATCTAGAAATCCTGTCCATAAAAGTTATGAACAGAATCTGTGACAAAGGGTAGCCCTGGTGAAGTCCAACTCCACCAATGCAGACCAAGCTCTGACACCGGCCATACAGGGACCAAACAGCCTGTATCAGGAGGCCTGGTACCCCATACTCCCGGAGTAACCCCACAGGGTCCCCCAAAGGATACGGTCTAACACTTTCTCCAAATCTACAAAACACGTAGATTGGTTGTGCGAACTCCAACGCATCCTCCAGGACCCCCTTAAGGGTATAGAGCTGGTCCAGTATTCCACTGCCAGGACGAAAACCACAGTGCTCCTCCTGAATCCGAGGTTCAACAATCCGACAAACCCTGCTATCCAGAACTCCCAAAAAGACCTTACCAGGTAAGCTCAGGAGTGTGATCCCCCTGTAGGTCCTTTTTAAATAGAGGGACCACCACCCCAGTCTGTCAATCCAGTGGAACTACCGCTGATGTCCACGTGATGCTGCAGAGCTGCGTTAGCCAACACAGCACTACGGCAGCCAAAGCCTTAAGGAACTTCAGGCGGATCTCATTCACCCCTGGAGCCTTGCCCCTGAGGAGCTTTTTAACAACCTCAGTGACCACAGCCCCAGAGATTGGAAAGTCCAACCTAAAGTCGCCAGGCTCTGCTTTCTCACTAGAAGACGTGGCGGTAGGATTGAGGAGGTCTTTGAAGTACTCCGCCCACTGATTCACAACGTCCTGAGTCGAGGTCAACAGCACATTGTCTGTCCCCACTATAAACATTGTTGGTAGTCCACTGCTTTCCCTTCCTGAGATGCTGGATGGTGACCAGAATCTCGTTGAAGCTGTACGAAGAACTTGCTCCATGGTCTCGTCAAACTCCTCCCACATCCGGGTTTTTGTCTCTGCCGCCACCCGAGCCGCATTCCGTTTGAGCCCCGGTAACTATCAGCTGCTTCTGGAGACCCACAGGCCAAAAAGACCTGATAGGACACTTTCTTCAGCTTCACATCATCCCTAACCACTGGTGTTTGGGGGTTGCCACCACGACAGGCACAGACTACACTGTGGACACGGCTCTGGTCAGCCGCTCTTCTTCATTATGGACAATCCATGACGAGCACAGGTAAGGTTGTCACTTGAGCACTTGATAGGTTGCCCTATCCTATCGCCAGTAAACTACACACTTTAAGGCTTTATCTGAAACTGGCTCACAGCCAAGTCTGAAACCTTTGTTAAGACTTCGGTCATGTTGGTTTTAATTATTCAACAAAAACCCCAAATGAACATTTTCTACATTTCAAATCATCCCTCCTCCAGGTCACGGCTCAAATCTGCTCCAACGGAATAAGCTAAAGGCTAACTTTTTTGTACATTTATTCTAGGGATGAGCGAGTACACCACTATCTGTATCTGTATCTGTTCTACCAACTAAATGATCTGTATCTGTACTCGGAATGGGCGTGGCATAAACCGGAAGTGGGCGTTGTTTAACCGGAAGTGGGTGTGGTTTACATCAATATATTATTTTAAGTCTGAAATTGATATGGACTGATCAGAAGTTGCTATGTGTATTGTTTATTTGAAAACTATTTACAGAGCAGCCTCAGAATTGAGATTAAATATTTTTGATCACAATAGTAAAGAAACTATTACAGAACAAGTGTTTCAATAAAATCAGAACATTAATATTTGAGTGCATGGATTAATACATCTGAACTCATGCAGTAGGATCTAGGAAATATGAAATGCTAGAACCAGACACAACTTTATGTATATTTTTTTATTTTAATTTGATTAAACTGATTTTTTTCTTAACGTTCTTGGCATTTTCCCCACACAAAGTTAAACAAAACAATGTTGATTAAGGTGTGTGTGTGAGAGAGAGATAGAGAGGGAGTAAAAAAAAACCGACCGGAGCGAAGGTAGTAACGCAGCACGTCAGCTCTGTCTTGTCAAATGCACCACGCAAGTTACGAAAAAAGTAACTTTAAATATTCAACCGAAAAAGAGGCGAGCTGAAGAAAACCTAGGGAAAACTGAAGAAACGTGAGCAACAGTGAAGTAGGGCTGCAACAAACGATTATTTGGATAATCGATTAATCGGATGGGGTTTCGACACGATTAATCGATTAATCGGATTACATAGGGACATTTTTAAAAACTGCTAGGGAAACGTTATTTTTCTCCTTCCCTCACTTTATTAAACACAACATTATTAGAAAACAGTTCAATAGCAGAAAAACAACATGCCATCACCTAAATTGTCTTATAAGGTGTATAGACAGAGACCCTAAGCTACACCTATCTGTGACCTAAAATGCTTGGTCCAAGTTAAACAGCTTAAAGAGCAAGTCAACCCCTACCAGAGTCCAACTCCACTCCCGCTTCATGTTTGAAAAATGCAACACATGCTGTTGCCTGGCAGACCGAGAGGGCGGAGCCGCTAACAAATACACACACACTCAGGGTCACGACAGCATTGTGACATCATAATGTACCAGTTTACATCATAGCATACTTCTTAGCCAATAGCGGTGGCAGATTTAAATTAAAATACAGTGCAGAGTTTTTACCTGACAACGGCACAACACTGCCAGTTTTAGGCAGAATATTTAAATTTTAACTAAGATGCACTGAAGTGCCAAATTATTGACGACACGTGTCTGCAGCATGATTAGACACTCGTTTATTTAGTCTATCAGCAAAAAAAAGTATTTGGGGGTGACTAGCTCTTTAAGGGCAATTCTCATCTGTTTTGTTTGATCTCATCTGTAGATATTTATTATAATTGGGGATGTCAAACAACTAATTTTTAAATGTAATTAAACATAGGCTGTGAATTAATCAAAATTAATCACTATTTCCAAAAATGACTGAAAAATACCAAATAAAACAAAAGTAAATGAATGCCATCCTCCTTGTGATGATGCCCTGGGCAACTGCCATAAAGTCACATCAAGAAATGCTGCTGATCATTCCAATGATCCCAAATAGACTCACATTAGGCCACATGAAAGCAACTGAACCCAAAAATATATTAACCAGTATATAACTGCACTCTCACACAACACGCCTGCAGCAACAGTTAGGACTCCTCCCTCCCTTTTAAAAGCGTTTTCGCTTCTGAGGACATTGTGGTTGTAAAGCCACAAGTTAGTAGTCTGGCCCCGGTGTGATCAACCAGTTTCCGCGGGAATGTGACGGCGGAACCAGTTCGCAGCGGCGCGAGTTGTCGCACCCCCCCCCCCACCCACCCCCCGCATATCTAATAGCGTCGCGCTTACAATTTTAAAGACTTTTTTTTACGAGCTTAGGGCATGTCTAGCCTGTGTAATAATCCGGAGCTTGGGTGAATCACTTTTGAAAAGTTTTTAACTTACCCGGACACCGAGCTCTCTCCCTCCTCGCTGATGATTCTGACATGCTTGCGTTTAAGACGCTGCATCATCACCGTAGTATCCCCATGCCATGCTAAGTCTGACCTACAAACGTTGCATGTCTTCGCCTGATTTAACTGAAAATGCTCCCAAACTTTAGAAGTTTTTACTTTTTGGGGGTCTCGCTGCTTCTGCCATGTTCCTCTTACAAACACCTGCTGACTCTCCACCGGTCTGCGCGCAACGGCGGGCGGGCGGGAGGGGGCTTTTGGAAGAGTTGCGCAACACAACGAATCGATGACGCAATTCGTTGCCAACGCTTTTAGTAATCGATTTTCATCGAATTTATCGATTCGTTGTTGCAGCCCTACAGTGAAGCCATCACAGCGAGATCCGTTACCGTCTGTGTGTGTGTGTGGATGAACCGGACGGACTGAGCTCCCAGCCGGCTGCAGTTTTGTGTGTAGGGAGGGGCGGGCGCTCTATTTGACTGGCCAATCACAGAGCGTGAAGACAGTCAGTTACCCAATGAGGATTTTCCTTCAGCACGATTACAGGTATTTACAAGCTTTACTCGTTTCATGCTCGTATTCGTCAAAAATGCTTTATCCGTACTGGATACTCGTTTGAAACGAGTATCCGGCTCATCCCTAATTCATTCCATGTTTATCTTTGTTATCGATTTTCTTGTTCTTTTTTTCCCACAGTAAAACACTGTAAAAAAGAACAAGAAAATGGATTGCTAAAAGCTAGATCCCGTTAGCATCTTTCTTCCTTTACACCATGTAAGCTAAGCAGATTAACAAGGTTTTTATGAGTCTGAACTTCACACAGAGGAGTTGAGGAGGAACACTTACTCCTCTTGATGACGGCTCTGATGGAAGAGAGAGGGCCCTGGCTGCAGGAAGGAAAGGGAAACCATGAGTCACATTTTCATCTCTACTGCTGCCCAACCCGCAGTTTTCATCACAGCTACAGCCAGTATTTATTCAGACTGGCACAGAAAATCTGATTTGTGCAAAAAAGAAAAAACAGATTTAAGCCTGTCAAATCATCACTTCTGGCTTCATGCAACATGTTGATATAAATGTTTGCGGTGTGTGCATAAATGACATTTAACAATACTCTCCACACAGCTACAACCCCACTGGTGTTTAATAAACTATAATCAGCTAAATGCACATGAATGAAGATTTTAATCTCTATTGAAGATTAAGTAGCATTTTGGATTTAGTTTCTTTCATTTCTGAGGATTTAAAGAATCTTCAAGCACAATAAAAGAATAAATAAAAAAGAATAAAACCAAAGAAAAGCAAAGAGAAACAGATCAGATGAATGGATGAAAACATCAATTTTTAACCACATTTCACTAAATTCCCAGAACTAAAACAAGAAAAGTGTCTCTGGTATTCCTTGAATGGGAACGCTGCTGAATTAGAGTTCATAGACTAATCAGATATTTTAGGAATCACGTTAATGTTTTAGCGATCAGGACAACAGACCGATCAGATATTAGAGTTGTGTTTCTTCCTGTTCTCTCAAACAAAAATGACTTCAAAGTAAAACAGCTGAACCAAACCAGAACTCTGCTGTGTGAACACTGGTCCACCCACTAATGCCAGGACAAACACACGGTGGTGTTGGTTACATAGGAGGTTTCTGTGAAATTTGTCCCTTTGCTGCTTCTATAAACCTAAAACCCGTAGCTCCGCTAAATCCTCCCTGGGTTCAGACGGATGTTAAAGATGCAGCAGCAGAGCTAAAGCCCCATTGGTGCCTCACCCATGGAGACAGGAAGTGATGTCAGACCAGCTGGTATCAACTCCACCATATTCATGTACATTAGTATAATGGGCCATTCCCATCTGTACCGGGTCGGCCCGGGCCGGGTAGCGTAGGTTGTTTACATATCTGGGTGGCCTGGTATTTTTTCGGGCCAACCAAGGCTCATTTTCAGCCCTCTTCTCGAGGGGGTCTGCTTCAGGCCGACCAGGGCCAACACACCCACTGCTGACAGCAAATTCACACCTTCCATTAGAGCAAGCCTCTGATTGGTGGGTAGAATCAGCCCACATGGGCAAGGATGTGTGGAATCAACCGGGCCAGGCTGGGGCCGACTGGGGCTACCCGGCCCAGGCCGACCCGGTACAGATGGGAATGGCCCAATAGATGACTCAGACAGTTTTATCCTCATATGAGTTGGTTTAAGCGCCTGCTGCATCAGTCTGATAAAGTGTTAGATCATTGGTAGACGTGGCCCCATAAAAATGATGAACCCAGAAACAGAAGCTTTGAGTTTTATTAGTTCTAATATTTTCTATCTGAGCAGCACCAGCAGAGGTGAAACAACAGGAAGCTGTAAACAACCCAGCTGAAATCAGAGACCAGGAATAAAAAAACACATCTTTCTAAAATCTAATCTGAACCCACCCCTCCCCCACAAAAATGATGTATTATTTACATTAGCTGAGCTTATTGATGTCGGAATAAAGTTCTCAGACCCTAAAACTGTTAAATCTAATATAAATATGATAAATAAGTAATATCTAGTGTCTTTTTTGTGACGTTAAACACTGAAGGTTATTAATGATGAAGCATCTCACGTTTCATTCAAACTTCCTCCTGTGTTGCTCCTCCCTCCATAAAATGGTCACCACGGAAACATAATGTGTGCAAATTATCAGTACAGTGCTTCTCTGGGCCATTTGTGTTCGTCTTCATGTGCAAATGTAGACATTTGTGTTCTAGACCAACTCTAAACAGCGTTCTGGAGCAGAAGAAACAAATAAAAACAGTGGACTAAAGGTGAGCTTCGTTCAGACCGTGAACCAGAACCACAGGTGGGTTGGGTCAGGTTACATACAGTAACCTACTGTATGTACAGTCTATGGTTGGGCCACATTAACCCACAGGAGAGGAGTTTATGTTTATGTTTATGTGCTTAGCAGACGCTTTTACCCAAAGCGACTTACAATTTTTTTTTTACCTATAGGGCATGTTGTGATCTGTGGGGGAAACCGGAGTACCCGGAGAAAACCCACGCATGCATGGGGAGAACACGCAACTCCACGCAGAAAGGCCGCAGCCGAGTTTCGAACCTGTGACCTTCGTGTTGCGAGGCAACAGTGCTAACCACTGCACCACCATGCCTTTAGGGGAGTTGTGTGTCAGATCTGAACATGTCTGTTGTCCTGAGAAACCTGCAGTCTGTGGATGAGTCACATGGAGCAGATGAACACCTGCGTGGGCGGGTCTGATTTTAGGTCCTTTAAAGTTTAGAAGTGATTGCTGACCACTATTTACAGGCTTCAGGTTGTTGTTCTACACGGCTGCTTTAGTTCAGCAGCTTCAAACACACGTGTCAGGATCTGAGGGGGTAAAATGGAGCTACATTAGAACATCAAGACTGTTTGTGCTGCTGATTCAGCTGTTCTGTAAGCTAAACACACCCAGACTTCTACAACTGGTCGTCATGCCAACCAGCCAACAAACAAATAGTTTCAGGACTGTTTCAGAAGCAGAGAGCAGCTCCAGTCTGACTTGGCAAAAACGTTTCCTGTAGTCATACTATCCTGTGATGTCATAAATATTGTTTTACTGACTTGTGGTTGAGATGAAAGAGACTCAGCCTTTCACCGGGATGCAACATCAAACACACCGCTCACACATGTGGGAATGAATAAACACACACTTCCTGGTAGCTGTTACTCATCCTCAAGCTGCAAACGAAACAAAAGAAGAGTCTCCTACCTGTGACGGTGCTCTGGCTTATGTCTGTCAGGGCGAGCTGTGAAGAGGAGGAGGAGAGGTCAGCATATGATGGAAGTACCACAGAGTCGGGACAAACTAAACTAAATTCAAATTCAAAACTGGTTTGTTTGCCGTTTTTTTTGGGAGGTAGAGACAGAAGGAAGTATATATTTGCATGACGCAGCCCTGCAGCTCTGGCTCCATAACTAAACAAACCTGCATTCAAACATTTAAACATGAACAAAACCAACGTTAAAACGTCTATTTGAGCTGTTTAACAAACCATGCTGCAGTTAAAAGAAAACATTAGAGTTTATGCAGGATTTTACACCCACTGACCTCTACAGCTGGTCGTCATGCCAACCAGCCAACAGACCAGAAACTTTCAGGACAGCATGTGAATGACTGTAGCATCAAGAGCAGGTTGTTATTATCGATGTCATGTGACAGGCTAGCAGACATGCTAACTTAAAGGCATACTATATTTTTAGGTAACTTCCTTGAGCCAGTCTGCGCTAAAGTGACTAGTGATGCACCGGTATGAAATTCTTGGGCCTATACCGATATCCGATGTTAATATCACTATTATGACCGATAACTGATATTTTGCCGATACCGATATATTGACACTAATGCTTCTAAAATCACACCACACACATTTACGTTTCTGACATTATTACAATCACTGTCACATGACTTAAAGAGCAAGTCACCCTCAAATCAACCTTTGTTTTTGTTGATAAACTATATAAATGAGTGTCTAATTGCTCTGTGGACACGTTCAGTCAATAATTCGGCACTTTAGTTAATCTTAGTTAAAATTTTAATATTCCTCCTAAAACTGTCAGCGATGCACCATCGTCAGGCAAAAACTCAGCACTGCATTTGAATTTAAATCTGCCATCGCTATTGGTTAAGAGGTACACTATGATGTTAGATGGTACATTATGATGTCACAATGCTGTGAGTGTGTGTATTTGTTAGTGGCTCCGCCCTCTCGGTCTGCTAGGCAACAGCATTTGTTGTATTTTTCAAACAGGAAGTGGGAGTTGAGTAAGAATCTGGCAGGAGGTGACTTGCTCTTTAACCAGGGTATCTGCAGGTTTAAGGGAGCCAAATTTAAGACTTTTTAAGACATTTTTTAAGGCCACTTTGACCAAATTTAAGCTAATTTTTAAAATTAAATTTAAGCTATAATTTCCAGCTATTGCCTGAAACAGGTGCTAACCACGTCGTGAATGTGGGATTAGCCATCCAGTTACCATTAATGTTGCACTTCCCCATGGCGCAAACTCCCACTAGCTTAACCAGCTAATGTGCTCATCTAAAAATAGCCCCCTTTCACAACCAACCGAATGTGTACGGTTCCGCTTACGCCAACATCATACACAAAAAATGCTGAACACCAACTAGAAATTCACGAAAATTTTATAGAAATAAAAGAATCTTGTTTATTGGGTCTTTGGTAATTTAAGACCTTTGGAAACTATTTAAGGATTATTTGTCATTTTTAAGGATTTTTAAGGCCTTAAATTTGGAAAAGCAAATTTAAGACTTTTTAAGGACCTGCAGATACCCTGTTTAACAAACACCCATCACCCCCTCTCCCTCTAAAACAGATAAACAAACGGAACCAAGATGGAAAAATATCAGTTGTTAATATCAACCCAGTTTAATCCATCGGACCGATATGATAGAAAAACGACTAACATCAGTCGATACCAATAGCGATGTCGTTATATTGTGCATACCTAAAAATGACCCTTTACAGCGTTAATGAAATGTCACTCAGTTGCTGTGACCAGCATTTAAATATGGCTGACGCTGAAGTGGGTTGGAACATGTAGATGTAGCAGGAGTGGCTGACGCCTTCTCACAGCCTTGCTTAGAAGAGGAGTTTCCCTCTAGCTCCTTTTTTCTTTCTTTTCTAATTTCCATAGAAAGCAGGCCACACACTGCTTTTGCTACAGACCCATGATGGAAAGTACTTCAGTGTGTCCAATGTTATATATCTTAAACGATGAGTTTTAAAGTGAACATGTAAAAATGAAGTGTGCCTAAATCCATGAAGCAGACGGATGAATTATGTATTTACTCAGTCAGATGCCTACTTTTTTTTTCTGTGATGAATCACTGATGTCTACTCATGTCCACAATAAGCAATTACTTCAACTAAACTGAAAATGTTTGTGTAAAAATGGTGAAAATGACAGAAAATAAACCGAGACGATAAAATAAATTAGACATTAAACTTTAACAATGAAAAAAAAAGTTAAGTCATTTTCTAGACCGTGTAAATCAGGCCATCTTCAGTACCTATGAGTTCCAGCCCTTATGTGAGAACACTGAGCTACGTTTATAACACTAAACAAAATAATAATGGAAGAAATAAAAAGAAGACATTGCTTTTGTCTTTAGTAAATATATATTTTTCCATTTCCTACCTCCTCCTCTCTTCGCAGCCCAACAGAAAACCGTCTGAATTCTGTTTTAACCTAAAACCTCCTGCTCCTTTTCCTTCGTTTGCCAATAATCCAAAAACTTGAGAAATAACCGTTCTTTGCTTCTTTTCCTCCACCTTTTCTGTCTCTGGAACGCCTGACTGGACCGCCCATCTCCTGAGGCGAGCGTCCTGATTGGTGGAGAGACTCCAGGAAGTGAGGCTGTGGTTGGCTGCTGTGGGATTCTGCTGGAGTCATCAGCGTTTTAGCACTTCCAGATGTCTGAGCAACGTTCAAACAGCAGATTTTAGTCTCCGCTCGTCTCCTGTAGAGGTCACGTGTTAGAGGGCTGATGTTTAAAGCCGTTTTTCTAAAACTTGATAATGAATAAAATAGTAGATGTAGAAAAGTAGACTTATAGAAACAAACCAGATAATCCTTAGATCTAACTATCATGTTTATTTACTCTTCTGGTTTAAAAGCTCATTTAGAGACTAAAACATGGTAGAAAATGATGAGATTTAATACATGGATGTCCACCAACAACTGACTGATTTCTGTTGGTTCAGCCATGGTGGACATCGTTTGTGTAGTTGTCTACAGTGAATTGTTTATAGACGCTAATGTAAACATTACTTCCTAACCCGGACTACCCACCTGACATGTAAGCAGGGCACACTTACTAATGGGAGCGTCTGAGATTCTCAGCGGCTGCTATGCTACTGGTCCCATGAGATCACGACCTCATAAGAGCAAGATCACGCGTGATTTCAAAAGTTCACATGAAAACAAGCAAGGAGAAGGATGGCAACATGGAAATGGAAGCTCGTTTACATTGGCCAAGCCATACAAAAGTTGCATGTTGTTTATTTTGAAAGTTGCCAGATGCTGCTGTGTTTGACTTCCTGTCTGCCCCCTTCTGAACCGCTGAGCTTGACGTGTTCTGGAAAGGTTCATCAAACGTTCATAGAAATATTCCTAAATTTCTTCCAATGAAGAAAATATTGAATTTTCGTACCAACAGTCAAAATTCGTATTTATGAAACATGCGGTGGCCTCTCATACGCATGTTCCTCTGCAATTATCTGAAGATAAATCCCAACTGTGCGTAACCAGGCGCTCGTGTCCACTTATATACAGGAACACAATCAATTAACCATATTTGGTCACGTTCTCAGCTCATAATGGGATTCCCTGGGTTTTTTCCCAGGGAAAAAAGGGGAAAACATTATTGACAGCGAGACTGAGACACTGGCTGCCGAAGCTCAAAAGAACCAAACAAGTTGCAACGGTCATAAATGCGGTCAGGACCGTGAAGAAGTCCCCGTCAGGAATAAATAAAAGAATGAATATAATAAATCATAGAGGAACGAGTTGTCATTTACATTTAAGGAGTCATTCTGTTTGGAGATATTTTTATTTGGAAATGTCGTCCGAGAGTGCAGCACCCTTTAAGTTGTCATTCAGTCTGGGAGGTTCTGGAAGATCCTCATAGTTGTAAAATAGCATATGGACTGGAACCGGATTAGTGCTGTTTGTCTTTTGCTGCACAAAGGGTCCCGAATCACAGCACAGCTGCAGAAGGATCTCCTTCAGGAATCGGATCTGTGCGCTTATGGAGGACGCGTTACCTTCGGAGACCGGAGTCTCTGCCAAATCCTCCCAATAACGCAAGCTCAGTCATGTTACAATATCTGTCAGTCACGTGTCTTTTATAGATTTTAGCGCCAATTATGTGACGCAGCTGTTTTTCCACCAAAATAATTATTTAATGGGTAAAATCATTAGTGGATGAAGAACTAAGTGTGAACGACTGAAACATTCAGTATTGCAGTTCCTCTGTTCTACCACTAGATGCTGTTCGTATGCATGGTCTGAGGTTTTCTTATATTTAGGAACATTTCCACACACAAGTGCAAAATGTAGAATACCACACAATCCATCCATCCATCCGTTTTCTTCCGGTTATCCAGAGTCGGGTATCGGGGGCAGCGGCCTAACCCCGGGTTTCCACCGGAGCCGTCAGCAGCACGTTACTGCAGCAGCACGTCTTGCTCGCGTAAGCTGCTGCTTGGCCCTTCCCACGAGATGCGAAGCAGCAGGGGAGCAGCTGTCACCGACAGAGCACGAAGTCACACGAGTGACTTCGTCAGTAAACACAACAACAAGCAGGAGAAAACTACAACATGGCTCCAAAAGGTTTGTGTTTTATGTTCTGTCCGTTTTATAATCGCCAATACAGACCTGAAAAATAAAGGAGACCGCTAGCTAGGTGATAACTTCTCACGGGGCCGCACAGTTAGTAACGTTTTTTAAAAGTAAAGCAACCGGAAGGCAGTACGTTCTTTATTCTGAAAATCTCGGGAGCTTCTCTCCGTTTCCGCGTCCAATTTCCTGTCTTTCCTTCCCCAAAAATGTCGAACTTGACCCGTTTCAGAGGCGTCGCGCGTAGAAAATAGAACCGGCGCGTGAAGGCCGCGACATGCTGCTCCTGAGACGTGGCCGACTCGCGCTGCTGACGGCTCCGGTGGAAAAGGTTCTGTTGATCACAGCGGTTCCTGTCAGCAGCTATGACGTGCTGCTGCAGTAACGTGTT